ATCTGGTGGATAACCAGTGAAGTCTGAATTAATATTCAATGGATATATTTTTTTACAAATTTCTTGGTTTGGAGGTCTTTAGAATAGGAGGTGAATTTTGCAGCAAGGTAGCTTCCTTAAGCTACAAAAAACATTGGTAAATGATTGGTTTGAGGTGATATTGGAGCCATTGGCGTGTGTAAAGTCACTCATGCAGTAATATTGGAGACAGCCGATTTTGAGTAATGTTATGGACCTACCGGGGGGGGGGGGGAGTCATTGTCACTGAAAGCTGGAGTACATTTGTCTCCTGCTCATTTGGTCAGGAACACTCGACAACGCCAAACGAGGATGTCCAATAACAACCTATATGAGGCATGCTGACCTCTTGGCATGTGGGTTACATATGCTTGGCAGAAGGAACCCCTCAATGGCCATCGTCAATTGTCTTGTGGAAAAGAAATCTTGTTTTTCAACATGGCTGTATCAATGGCATCTGTCATTTTATATCTGGTTGTCGTGGCAATATTTCTTCTACAAACATCTTCTATTAGAATATACGCATTTACAACCAGTAAATGGGAAGAAAACTATTTTATGTTCTATATAAGGAATGTGTTTTACTGGTTTACACAAAAAGGATGGAATATTTGAGAATCCATAAATAGATAAAAGAAATGAACATGGTTTGAAGTGGCTTTCTTCTCCTGAGGAATCTGCTCAGGAAAAGTCTCGACACCTGTGGGTAGAATATCCATAACCCACAAACCTACATACCATAGACTAGTAATGAATCAACAATAAACCAAATGTATGAATTTTTTTTTATCAATACAGCATTAAGATTCAGAAGACCTACTTTACAATGTGACTTGTCGATAAAAGAAATAAACGTTCATTGGAACATTTTGTTACGTGACCGATTTTATATTGGCGAGCCAGACAGGATTCTTCAGTTAGTTTCAGTTACGTAGGTGACTGCTGACTGGCTGCACTGAAATGGAGCACTTACTAAGAAGAATATATTCAATATGTACATTATGGTAAAAGGTTTTATGTAGAAGTACATGATGAAAATATGATGTAAACACAATGGAAACAAGAGTTGACAATCAAATACAACTTCAACACTGTGTATGTGATGATACAAGTGAAACAAAACACAGATGTCCCTTTATTTGCATTGTATTACATCTTGATTTCTTGAAGAAAGGAAATTTCCCTGCATTTAAGACGTTGAAAAAGTTACAAAATATAATTCCTTATATAAAGTCAACACCCTGTCAAAATCTCATTTACATGCAAACGTTTCTACCAAAAATGTCTTGTACATTTAAGCAGACAGTAATTATCAAACTTGTTATTTAATTGTTGTGCAGAATAATAAGACTCATCTTATGAATAAATTTGGGGTGTAATTTGTACAATAATTTGGTTCTGCAGTCAGCCTGCTCATGCAACCACTTCTGATAAGATACCACCTGTGTTAAGAGACCACTGTGTAAAGAGACCACTTTAAAAGTTTCCCAACAATATTGTCACAGCAGATGGATCATAAGATGGAATATGTTATAGTTTTAATCTAACAAAGGGTTTAAACATTTGCATCAAAAATGCTGAAAATTGTATTATTGAAATTTAACTCATTCACCCCTTAAGTCACATTTGAACCTTACCAAATCAATGACTGGGCAAATCAGTCATTTGGAAGGAAATAATTTTGCTGTGCATTATGAAAACAATTTATATTATAGAAACTAATATGATGTTAAATTTAAATGAAAGATATGAACATGATCATATACGAATGTATGTAATCGGGAACCCCAGTGATATTCTGTTCAGGCAGGATGGTCATTGTTATCAGATTGATAAACAAAGCCAACTTTTAAAAAGTATGTAATGAAACATGGGCTATATAATCCCATGTGTCTCGATGCCAGACAAGATTTCATGTACAGAGACCACTTCATGGCCAAACTATGGCCATCGAACCCCCCTCATTGACATTACGGAGATACTGTCTACTGTTTTAGCCATGCAGAATTACTGATACGGTAACATCAGATAGTATACCATCTTAGTGTAAGCGATAAGAGATGCACATTTTGCTTGCTGGATTGGTTGTGACAACAGATATCCAACCCTTTTTGGTGGTTTAAGGATGTATGCAACATAACTTTTTGTTGTGTACGTTCTCTGCAAAAGAGTGCCACACGTTGAAAAGCTGCAACATGTAGTTTAATAGCATTATTTTGAACTTGCAACTTTGCAATTGATGACACAATTGAAAATTGCACGAGATTCATTCAATGGTTACATGCAGGTATAAGTGAATCATTAGATAATAATTTTAAGAAATATATATTCAAGGGAGATGACTCTAATTCAATAATGCTAATTAAAAACTAACCAAATTGAATTTACAAGACCTTTATCCTGATCGGTGCAGTCGGAATTTATCTAATTTTATTTTGACAGAAAATTTTAATTTATCCAACGAGTTAAACACATATCTCTCTTATCTTTAGACACTGATCCTATACAGTGGTCCTCAATTCTAATGATAAACCCTTGTCATTCCCACGAGTTAAAGCTGTATCGGGTAAATACCATGTCTTGGAATCTCCATCCTAGTCTCGGGGGATAAAAGTACCAATACAGGAAAGCAACGATGATCCGGACTGTGTGGAGAAAAACAAGTTGTTTTTATTGATTTCTGTTTTAGCATTAACTTTTGAAGCTGTAGATATATATCTTTCATTTTATGCTGAAAGTCTAGAAGGGTCTTAATAGAGATAATATACTTATAAAGTTCACATAAAGAAAGTAGGTTTAGCAATGAGAAAATGTTCTTGTGTAATGCATGGATGAGTGACCAGACCTGTCATTAGGATTGCCAATCAAAGAATGATTTCCATCTCCTGATTTTGTAACAGGTGTTTCACATCTATCCTCAAATTTGCAAAACTTGATGCTTACTTGTTTTAGGTGTACAATAACACAAAGTTTTAACAAAAACAATATGTTAAATGTTATTAAAATTCAATGTCATATTGGTCAAGGTCAGGGTTTTCTAAAAACTTTCAAAAATGAGAGTTTGTGTTTCAGGGTGTTATGGCTAAGGTCAAGGTCAACATGTTTCAATGTGTTATAGGTCAAGGTCAACAAGTTTCAAGGTGTTATGGCTAAGGCCAAGGTCACCATGTACTATTTTTAAAAGAATCTGTTTAAACCGTTTTAAAGAAAACTAAAATATTTACAAGTGTAATTAGTTGTATACAGGTGTAATGATCTTCAGTACCAGAGAATGAAATTACCAGAGTGATGCTTGTCTGGGAACTGTTGAAATATACGCTCTATAACAGACTGATGTACTTGTGAGGTGGTTTGTATTTTTTACATCAATATGATCTGCACTGGAGGATACCACAAATATATCTATAAAAAAAATGATATTAAATTTTTACTAGTATCCATTTCTGAAATATTACATAGCATACAAAGAACCACATCCATGCCCTTTTAACTCTGAATTGGTCAAAATATGGAATGTTCTTGATAAAGTTTATACAAATTTATCTCCGTACCACGAAGTAGTGCCCCCGTCTTTACTAGATGTACGTCTCTATCCTGACCTTGTACCTGTCACGACCATCAGGTGCATATCGAACGGAACGACACAGCTGTTGTCTCATTGTATTAACAAAAAAGTCCAGTGAGTTGTAATATAATATTGTTGGTAGGACTGTAACTTATACAGAAATAGATATATTTATACATGTATCTTCAAAAATCACAACACTGCATTTCAGCCATTTCTCTATGAAATTTGTTTGGTTAGAAATTGTTTGTTCAATTTTTATCATTTTATTTTCTACTACTAGCAACATCTGTTGCAGTGTTAAATTCCGGCCCGTTTCTATGGAATTTGCATGTTGATTGACTAGATGTTACTAATTGTTTGTACCTAAAATCAACATCCTTCCTATCACTGAATTTAACAAATGTTGTTGTTTAGTAAGTCTTGTATAAAAACATTGTTCAGATCTAAACTCCTCAGCCTCTCTGGTTGTTGTCCATTTGTTTTAATTGCTTTACATGCAAAAAAATATGACGGTAATCTGTTTCGGTAAATTTTTTATTGACCGCCAAATGCCAGACATGGAAGGCCAATGATAAATGTTTGACTGTCAGGCAATGCACCGAGTCAATGTAGCACGCATCTGTCATGGGGGGCCTGACGGGTGAAATATTGGCTTAGATGCATCAGCAAGTTTCAGTTGGCTAGACCAATTCAGAATTGGCTGAGCAAGTTACTTTTGTCATACTCTGTTTTGTGTGACAGCTGATGGGATCATATATAGAAAATAGAAGTTTCAAATCTTGATATGTTCACACAAAATGGTTTTTAAGCACACAGAATAAGTTATGTACTGTGGTACTGAAACACTGCTCTGTGATAATCAGGGTTTTCTTAATAGAATGTTTTGCTTACCTAAGGGTATGACAGAGAAATTTTCAATCTGAGTGGTGATATTCTTTTTTTAAGTACGTAAAATTTAATTAGTCAATCATAATGTTTATAATTTCCAGAAGTGTAAAATAGAGAGGGGGAAAAAAAAAATGATGAAAAAATTGATATTCTTCTTTGTCTAACGTGTGGCATTCTTCAAGCTGAAGGATAGACATTTGAGAATGTCTCCCATCCTGTCATAAATATATTTTCTTTCCTAATTTGCTCAGGTTGAAAGCTTATCAGGACATCACATTTAAGTGTTTTTGTTGCGTTACCTTAATTTAATGTTCCCTCCTATGTTGTCACATAATTCTGTTTCTGTCATACCTTGGGTTAAAGAGATATACTGCTTTCAGGGGGGACAGAATTCTTGAACAGCTAAAATGCGGGACAATTTTGTTAATAGGGGAAATATGTTGTTTAGATGATGTGTATTAGATTATGCGTATCAGCAGATCTAATTGTTAAATTTAGAAGTTAAACTCATTTCTTCTCTTTGCAGAATTTTGACACGAGCGAATCTAAACTACGCAGAGAATTTGAAGTATACGGACCCATTAGAAAAGTGAGTATATTTTTCCATGTTTGCTTTACAAGATTAACCATGGACTATTTTAATGTGGTACTTCAATTAAACTTCCCCGCACATGAACTTTTCAAGTTGCATGAAAGAATGAATGGAAAAGAAAATGTAGAAAGAAATATTAAAAAAAACCACTGTATTATCTATCACAAATTTTATGTGCAATATCAAACATTATTAACCTGAACATAGCATAGCATCCATTGAAACAGTAAAATAATTTTTAATTCAGAGAGAAATTCACAACTGAAATATGTTTAATGCAGTTAAATATAAAACAATTTGGCTTGCAAAAACAATATGCTACACATATGTTTAGGATTCACTGATCCGAGTCAGAACAGGTGTTGATGTTGGACATAAAATCTCATGTGATGATGATGATCCCATAAACTTGTCAACTGCACTGCTTGCAGATCTGTAAACTAGCTTATGTCATCACCTGACCTGCAGAGTGGAAAACGGTCAGTGTCTGCTGATATCTTTGCTGGTCAGTAATACTGACCACTCTACTGGTCATCCTAACAGGCTAGTCTACCCTCTGGTCAGAATGACCTTACTTTTGGATAAGGAAAGTTGATCATATGGTAAAGTCTTTCTATTTAGCTTCCTTTTCACCAACTTAATGTTGGCAGAATTATGAAGAACAGACAGTGTTGTAAAGCAATTGTAATAATTCATTCCATATGCAATTTATCAGCATTACAAAATTCCTGAATCTCCTATTTTGGTTGACCTTTTTTTTTCTCGTAAGTTGGATCTTTTGGTTCTCCTCACAGTAACATGATAGATCCTAGACTAACTCTAACCAATAACATACTGCATCTAGGAAGCCTTACATTTGGAGCGGAGGAAATACTTTTAAGGTGACAGCCATCAGTGTTGTAGACAGGCGATGGTCCAGTATGGATCATTTCCATTGACCTTCACCTTCATGATATACTACTGTATGGAAAGGAGGTCAGACCAGCAGTATGATGATATCTGTGGTGGCAGATCATTTTGTTGGATATGTGTATCAGCCGAAGACATCACACAGTAATGCTGGTTGTGTTGGTGACTTGGTCAAAATATTCATTAACTCATTCACCCCTACATATTTAAACTGGATTTGTCCAGTCATTGATTTGGTAAGGTTCAAATGTGACTTAAGGGGTGAATTTCAATAATACAATTTTCAGCATTTTTGATGCAAATGTTTAAACCCTTTGTTAGATTAAAACTATAACATATTCCATCTTATGATCCATTTGCTGTGACAATATTGTTATTTCATTAAATTTGTAATATGTGAAAAAATGCCTGCAGATTTGTCACAAATGGAGGTGAAACAGATTCAATGAAATTTGAGACTTTTCGCATTGGGTAACGATTGTATAATCTAGGACAAGATTGACCACCTTGTCTCCTTGTCTAAAACAGTATTTATCTTCTTATAAAAAATTCAAATGATAAACTAGTGCAAAAAAACAAAAATGGAATCACCACTAGTGATTTGAGTATAAAGACACAACAGTGCCAGACCAGGAATCGAACCCTGAACCTTAGATCATTATACTGTTGACCTAAGCAACTGAGTAACATGGTCAACCGTATTACCTTAGCCAAACTACACTACAGTTTTAGCCCGAATGAAATGAAGTGAGAGTAAAAAAAAAACTGGAATTTCCTGTCTGTAACCTGAAGTGGGACAGAAATCTTTTAACTCATTCACCCCTGATGACACAATTGAACTCTTCCAATTCAAAGGTTGGAAAAGTTTATTATGAAACTTCTGGGGTGAATGAGTTAAGTGCTACTGTTCACCTAATGAACCCTGTGAATGTAAATTAGTTCATGAAATGATGGCATGTGTGACAGATACATGTATTGATACCACGGAGGTAATTCAAAATGATAATGATCGATATCACAAAGGGACATAATTCTAAAATATATATCACGTAAAAATGTACAAGGTTATTTGTATGATATTGCCGTTTTTGTGTTATTCGTACAATGATGGCAAGTAGGATACACATGTGGCGTCAAGCCTTCCTGTTCAAAAAACATTTAATATAAATAATAAAAGACTTCCAAATGTTTCCAGCAGCAATTTTCATTATCTGCAACATAATGTAAAGTGCAAAAACATTTAAACATGGTAGTCTTATGAATAGAGGAAGGACAATGCTTCATCAGGATAGCAGCAAAAAACAAAAGATCTGCTTTACATGAGAACCCAATTTTGCCCATCATTTGTGACAAAAGGTCCCAATATGTTACAGTATGCCATGGAGATAGTGTGTCTAATCTTAAATGGAGATTCTGTATTGTTTACTGCGGGAACAACACTGGGAATCGCTGTTCGATCAATGTCTCTGGAGTGTTTAGCTTCTACGAAACCTAGTTACTCCATATTAATGTGACTGTAATGATACCAATAGGACCCTGCCAGCCTCTGTACCAAGCCTCGTTATGAGACCCGTGGCCACTGATGGGAGAGGCTAATGATCCGGTTATCTTACCACTTGCATAGTTATGGTAGAATTTGAGTGGTTTTACTGTAAACTATTGATACCAGTCATACAGATACACCTAGCATTGATTTCTATTGTATGTATGGTTTGCACTTAGTGCAAAGTTGTACAGGTGTGTTTTGAAATTGTTTTTAGGAAATAAAATGATAGGATAAGTAACCAACCTAATGGAATCGTGTAAAGTAATGTTAAACACTGTTTGAAAAAAAAGGTCCCCTCTACGTAAAACCTTTCCGGAACAGAACTACTTCCATTTCATATGTCCTTAAAATGTTAAGTGTCATGGAGGATCCCTGTACCAACCCCCAAAAAATATTTCAAAATGTATTGGATTTTTTTTTCTGGCATGACTGTAGATTTGATAAATATTTCCTGAAAAGAAAACTGTACCATGTGGAAGTTCAGTTGAAAAAGAGAGAAGATGAAATAATAATAAAATAAATCAGTGTTCTGAGTGTATAAATGCAATGAGGCTAGACAAGGATTCGAACCCTGGACCCCCGATCTTCTACCTGTAAATGATGTATTGGACTAAAGAAAAGCATTAAGATGCACAACAAGAGTATGTATTGGTAATAGAAAAAAGATATGTCGATTTTAAAATCATTTTGATTCCTGGAAAATTAGTTACTTTAAAAAAAAGAATGGTACTGTCAAGAATGTCCTCCCTAAGGGTAGCTTTCTGTGTCTTTTTTTCACGGTCACACCTTCCCTCCTGTTTGATAATTTATAGGTCTGGATGACCTACACAAGTCGGTGATCTGTTACTGAAGGTTACGTGATGTTTTGATCACATTCAGTACTTCATTGTGTGGTGGTGTACATAGCACAGTTGATCAGAAAATGAGTTATAGAATCTGGAGCAGTTGATTGATGAAAGTGGGACGTGACATTGATTATATTTAACAGAATTTGACTCTGAACACGGTAAAACTCATGGTAGCGATGTAAGTCAATCGTGGAAATTAATTTGTGTGTATTCAGAAAACACATAGGGACTGTCGGGCCCTGCGAGTCTGGTGCGAAGTTAGTGTTAACCACTGTTGTAGGCCTCCTTGATTTCCTCTGTGTAAACTCTGTGTTAGTTTATAGGCAAGAACATTTCCATTTCGGAAGGGAGCTCTGAGAGCTAGTTTTTTATGGGAACAAATAATTCTGTTGCCAAGAGGGAAATGATAATCCAATAGGAAAACCTCCATGTGTTACATGGTGACCCAATTGAAAACTAGAATTTATTTCAGTCCTAATTTACATTTTCAACGGCATTCTTATTTTGTAGCCCAAACTAGAAAATATTAAAGAAATTGACATGTACACTATTCTTTATCATTCAAAAAAGTTGACATTATATACATATGGATTGAATAGCATTTTCTAGGTTGAATGGTGAATGAGCATTTTGGACTTGTATTTATACAGGCATGAACATTGAAAGAATGCTGTTCACTCTATATATTTACTGAATTCTTAATTTGATTGACTTTATTAACCAGACAGCAACAAAGTGGATGTTCAAGCTTCGAAGTACTAGGGTGAAAATAGGTCGAACAAGCACTAGGGGATGAAGAGATAATAAATACCAGCAGATGTTTGGGGAATGCATTGTTTACTCAACTAGTATCAATTAGCAATGTTTGACCTGTTATAAATACATCGCAACTTGGAATCTAAATAAAGCAGCATTTTTTTTTTATCAATTCCAAACACATGGTTTTTCATATCAATTCAGTTTTTCATCTAAATTCGAATTACACTTGAAATAAAATGTTGAAAAAAAATCATAAAATATTGAATCAATTCCCGACTGACAAAGCTTGAATTGTAGGACACAGACTAACTGTTTCAGACAGTACAGCTAATATTCGATCATGTTGCCAATATAGAAACACAATCATATTCCCAGAAGCTAATGTAAAACCTGCTTCAGTTCTTATCGTGGTTCCCATGTCGTTGGTGACAGGTATGTGTACTTAAGGTCTATAGCTTCTCCACCAATAGTTCTCCTGGAGGTGATTAGGACCAGGCACCAATACCCCTGCTTCTAGGTGAACTTTCCTGGTGTAACCTTATGGTTATAACCAAACCATGGTCAGGAGTATAGCCTAGAATGCAGACTGATAGTCATAATCATTCACAAGCTTGTATTCGGGGCCATTAAAAAGCTTCTGTGTTGCAGGTCAAAATAGGTTGGTGTATTCTGGGTCATTAACAAACTTGTATTCTGGGCCATAAACAGGCAGATATTCCTGATCATTAACATGCTTGTATAGTCATTGTTATCCTGTAGTTTGTCTAAAGCAGCATGCTGCATGGATTGCAAGGATAACAATTAAACATTTCTGTACCCTTTATGCCTTTTCACCATTCTTTAATCGTTTCCAATGTGATTACATCTGTTCGGTGCGGCTTTGCATTTAATTGCTACTTTCAACACGTTCTGTATAATAACAGTGGGGAATCTGA